GAGTGACGCGAGGGTCTCCCAACGTGACGAGATCCGATCACGGAGACCTGACTCACACGGACCAGGCCTCAGATCACACGCAAGAAGAAATTAGCAGAAAATATTTGTAGGGGTATAAAATATATATTCAAAAAACTGTTATTTTTGGGTTTAAAATCAAGATAAAGTCTAGGTTTTCAAGCTGTGACATTCCAAAGTTATTTAGAGCAACTTTAACCAGTGGATTCTTTCAGTTTATACACGCTAAATGTCAGTGTTGCATCAGGATATATGATCAATAACTAAATAAAATAACAAATCTTTGACTTTAGCATAATAAAGTAGCAAGTAAAAATCTCTAGCTTTAGCATTATGAAGAAGCTAGAATAAAATACTGTATAATCTTGTGTAATAAGTATATAGTTGTATGTATATATGGCTGTATCTACACATCTGCTTGTTAAAGAGAAAATACTTGTGTGGTCAGACTCTGTTGCTTTTTGAAAGAAAGAAAGACAAAGCACCTGTTTCTGCTGCAGATGTCACACAATCTAAAAGTGGTACTTCCTTGTCTACATAAATATAAGAATTCCCCCACCATTTTCCATTGAAATGAATGACCAGCTGAAACTTTGCAGCTGTAATTAAAAACGCAAAGTCATTCTCATCAACGAGTATTTTCCATTGTGTAGAAAATCAAATTCAGGTTATTTGCCGTTTGCACTAAAACCACATTGGAATACATAAGTCCAGAAAAGTACAGGAATAAAACTAAAAAGTAAAAGGAACTATTGTTGCTGTGAAAACCAATAAACAAAAACAACTTCAAAATAAATGCAACACAATACACAAAACACAATGATACACACAAACAGGTGACATATTAGACACACACAGGTACAGTATATGAACGATGCAACAATGGGAAGCCAGAGATCCCGACAGCAAGCAATACAAAATACCAGAGTTGAGTCATGCAGCCAGGGGCCCTCAGTCCAAAGAGAGCGGGGCCCTCCAGGCAAAGACCCAGAGGACGACCACCTACTGATCCACAGAGGAGCTATCCACACGCACACACAGACGCACACACGCACACCCACACAAAGTTCATGATTATACAAGAAAAAAACTTCAATATCTTTGAGTTGCTACAATAATACTGACAGTAGGTATTAAGTAAGTATAGTAGTTGCAGAAGTAGTAGAAGTAGTAGTAGTAGTAGTCACAGAAGCAGTAGAAGTAGAAGTAGTTGTAGTCGTCGCAGAAGCAGTGGCAGTAGCAATAGTATTAGTACAGTAATAGCAGTAATTACAGTAGCAGTAGTAGTTGTAGCAGTGATTGCAGTAGTAGCAGCAGTAGTAGTAGTAGTAGTACTTGCAGAAGCAGTAGCAGTAGCAATAGTATTAGTAATAGCAGTAATTGCAGTAGCAATAGTACTAGTAGCAGTGATCGCAGCAGTAGTAGTAGTTGCAGTCGCAGAAGCAGTAGCAGTAGCAGTAGTAGTCACAGTAGTAGAGGTAGGCGCAGTAGTAGTAGTAGTCGCAGTTTAGGCACATCCCTAAGCCCATTTAAAGGAGCTCAGTGATTTTTTTTTTTTTTGTAGCAGGTGAGGCCACTTTTAAAGAGGCCAAGTCCTGCAGTACCCGGGCCCTCTCCCCAGGGTCGCTCCCCTCCTTTTGGGTCACATCCCCAGGAGCTCGCACCTGCACAGGGAGACGAGGCGGGATTCTCTGGCAATAAGACCAGACCAGAGTGAACCATGAGGCACTTTAACTGATACTAGCAGCAGTAGTGTCAGTTATGGCACGTTTTAGATCCTCCACTCACAGAAGCAGTCTCTTGTCACTACATCTCTCTAACCCTGAGTCTTAAAAGAACTCAAATACTTCATGGCCTCTGAACTGGCAGTGAACTACTCTCTGCAAGTGTCCCAAACTTTTAACCACAATGATGCCCAGGATTTAACTTACAACCTGAAGCCGCTGAACTGTGCATCTAGATCCAGAACATGTGCGTTTGTAAATGTTCATCTGTGTGACTGTGGGTCTTACTTCAATCATCCAATCATTACTCAACAAAAACTTAAATTTTATTCAACGCCATTTATTTTGAGGACTATTTCTTTTTTGTTTCATATGTACAGCAGTGGTATGACTGGAAAATCTCAAAACATACAAAAAAAACGTACGCCCATATGAGCCACTATCTGGTTCTAGTCCTGGTCTTCTGGTCCCAGTTTAGTCCTGTTCTAGTCTTGGTTTCGAGGTCAAAGTTGAGTCCTGTTCAAGTCCTGATTTTGTGGTCCCGGTTTTGTCCTGTTCTAGTTCTGGTTTTGTGGTCAAAAATTAGTCCTGCTCTAATCCTGGTTTCATGGTCAAAGTTTAGTCCTGTTCTAGTCCTGGTTTCATGGTCGAAGTTTAGTCCTGTTCTAGTCCTGGTTTCATGGTCCCAGTTAAGTCCTGTTCTAGTCCTGGTTTCATGGTCCCAGTTAAGTCCTGTTCTAGTCCCAAACAAATGCAATTTCATGATCAACATGAATTCCAATATATTGTTGAACATTTAATTGATAATAACTAGATTAGGACTAAACTGGGACCACTAACCCAAGACTAGCGCGAGACTGAACCAAGCAGGACTAAGCCAAGACCACATAAGAACACAATTATAACAACGGATTGATATAAAGCAACAAAAGCCAAAAAGGTCAATACGAATATTCAACATCTAATCTGTCTGTTCACAAACTACACTGCAAAAAGTGATTAAAAATAAGTCAAAAATGGGTCAAAATTGGCTAAAATGTATCTTAAGCTGAGCACATTCTGACTGCCTTCAAATAAGATGAAATAAATGTCTCCCTTGGAATGAGAAACTAAAGCAACAGTTCTTGAAATAAGACTAACTGGCTTGTTTTAAGTCAGAATATGCTGAAATTAAGATAAAAAGGATGAAAGAAATTATTACCTAATAATTTAACATTTTTGTTTGGAGATGTCATTAAAATCACAAACCAGGACAAGCCTCATTGCCTTCACTGCCTCTTCCTCCAAGAATCCCTCTCTGATCTTAAGTAAACATTAACTCCAACACTTATGACATATTGCAGCCTCCAGTCCCATTATATCATTGTTTAAAGCTGGGCTACCTGAATTCTAGCCTCAGAAGTCAATGGGAGTTATCAAAACGATTCTTTGTATCAGGAGTTTTCTCTTGCATCATGCTGTGGCCTGTGTCACGGCTTCAGAGCAGCTTTGTGATGATGACCAGCCCTGCACAGCCAATCAGATACCAGCGCCACAGTGTCACATACAGTAATGACTCAAAAGGTTTTGTAAGACAAGTTTGAAAAATAAATGTGTTTTCTAATAATGATGATGAAGACAGACCAGAGAGAGAGAAGAGAGAGAGAGAGAGCAGAGAGAGAGAGAGAGAGCAGAGAGTGAGACCAGTTTGTAGAGAGAGAGAACAGAGAGTGAGACCAGGGAGAGAGACCAGAGAGAGAGACCAGAGAGAGAGAGAGAGAGAGAGAGTGAGACCATGGAGAGAGACCAGAAAGTAAGAGCTGAGAGAGAGACCAGAGAGAGATGGCAGAGAGTGAGACCAGAGAGAGAGACCAGAGAGTAAGAGAGCAGAGAGAGAGCAGCCAGTGAGACCAGAGAGACCAGTAAGAGAGCAGAGAGTGAGACCAGTGAGAGTGCTGAGAGAGCAGGGAGAGAGACCAGAGAGTAAGAGCTGAGAGAGAAACCAGAGAGAGAGACCAGAGAGTGAGACCAGAGAGAGAGAGCAGAGAGTGAGACCAGGGAGAGAGACCAGAGAGTAAGAGCTGAGAGAGAGACCAGAGAGAGAGAGACCAGAGAGAGAGACCAGAGATAGAGACCAGAGAGTGAGACCAGAGAGAGAGACCAGAGAGTGAGACCAGGGAGAGAGACCAGAGAGTAAGAGCTGAGAGAGAGACCAGAGAGAGAGACCAGAGAGAGAGACCAGAGAGTGAGACCAGAGAGAGAGACCAGAGAGAGAGACCAGAGAGTGAGACCAGAGAGAGAGACCAGAGAGTGAGAGCAGAGAGAGCAGAGAGTGAGACCAGTGAGAGACCAGAGAGAGACCAGAGAGAGACCAGAGAGAAACCAGAAGTAGAAACCAGAGAGAGATCAGAAGAGACATTGTGGCTGCATTTTTAAGTAAAGAAGATACTTTAAGCATCAAGCCATAGATACACAATTAAAGCTGGAGTATGTACATTTTAAACCACAACAAATGTAACTATATCACTGGTTTTCTCCAGCAGGTTTTTGTTTTTTCTTGCCTCTGTCACAATTTTCGATCAGCTTCTACAGAAAAGTGAAAGAGACTGGACCACGGTCACTCAGCCAATCAGCTCTTAGCCCAAAGAGTCAAACAGTGACTCACAGGGGCTTCTTTCTTACAAGTATTCAAAGGAAGAAGACACCATGATGCAAACGGCGATTTTTTTTTTTACTGTCTTTCTGTTGGTCCAAAGTGAAGTGTATTATTGATGACAAAGATGGAATCAAAGTGAGACCAGAAAGAGAGTAGAGAGAGAGAGACCAGAGAGACACAAGAGAGGGAAGAGAGAGACCTGAGACAGACCAGAAAGACCCCAGGGAGAGACCAGAAAGAGACCAAAGAGAGAGACCAGAAATAGACTAGAGAGAGACAAGAGAGAGACCAGAGAAAGACTCTCTCTGATGGTTCCAAAGTGAAGTGCATTATTGATGACAAAAGTTACATACCCCAGCTTTAAACAGCCTAAGTTGATAGTCCATTATAGATGAGTGAGCCGCAGTAGCCTCATTAACACTTTGAAACACGTTTAATTGCAAATACCTGTAGTGTTTAGAGCTGTAGTCTCCCCACGTGTCTGTCCTCCTCCTCTCTCTCTCTCTCTCTCTCTCTCTCTCTCTCTCAAACACACACACACACACACACACACACACACACACACACACACACACACATACACACTCAGACGTGTTCAGAAGTGCCCTCTCTCTCAGACTTACTTCTCATTTTGCGTGTCCTGCTCTGGCTCCTGCCTCTGGCCTCCTCTGTGCTCTGTGTACAGTGAGTTGTGTTTGTTATGGTGTGGACAAATGTAAAAGTTCCCTTTTATAGCGAAGTATGACACATCACCTGAGTCATCAGCCATCGTCGCCGAGTGAGTTGTACGCCCACAGCCCGGCCAGTCCCCCCCTCCCTCACTTCCCTCCCCCTGCTCCCCCAGCTCCCCCCTCTCTCCACCCTCTCCTGCCCCAGCTCCGACCAGCTTGCCTTTATCTGTGCATAAAAAAAGGACCAAACTTGTGTCTTTGTCTGCCCCACAGGGTAAATGGGAGTGTGGCAATTAAAGGAGAGGGGAGTTTTACTGTTGGAGGAACAAAATCACTAATTGAATATAAATCTGAAATGATAAAAATAGTCATAGATACAGAAATAATTACTTTTTGGGTCTGTTTTTACGTAGTGGAGACACATAAAATATAATAACAAATATTTCATATTTCAAATGAGTTAAAACAAGTTTTAATGTTGCAGGATCTAAACAAGTTACAAATCACTAATTGAACCTATAATTTTACTGTCATTAAGGAAAATACATGAAAACAGTGAAAAAAATCTGCACAGCTCTGTTGTTCCCAATAAGTGTCCTTTATTCATAGAGCATGCTGTTCATCAGACATGTCCCTTTATCATGTTTGATGAAGGGCCTCAGGCCGAAACATCACTACGAGGTGGTCTGTGCATTTCAGGAAAGTGGAGCGGTATGAATGAAGGAGAGGCGATTTCAGATGCACAACAAAGAAATAATAAAAGTCAAATTTGGCTTCAATGAGGTATGAAGTATCTGAAGTAAATAATATTTATTTTTTATAATTTGTAAAAGACATAGATACCATCGAGAGAAACCAGAGAGAGACCATAGGGAGACCAGAGACCAGGGAAAGACCAGAGAGAGACCAGAGAGAGACCAGAGAGAGAGAGAGATTTTAGAGAGAGAGAGACCAGAGAGACAAGAGAAAGGCCTGATCTCAAGACACTTCACCCCCATTGCCTAGAATGAGTCTGGTGTGTGGGTGGTCAGAGGGGCCGATGGCACAGACTGGTTGCCTCTCCCCTGTCAGTGTGCCCCAGGGCAGCTGTGGCTACAGTAGTCGTTTATCACCATATGGTGTTCCTGCAAATAGACAGGAACACACACATACACACACACACACACACACACACACACACACACACACACACAAGCCATGTGACATCACCATGTGAAGTCTGCTCACTGTAACAATTCAGGCTTTTGAGCCACACAAATACCTGTACAAGTTTAATTGCATATTGTGGTAGCACACACACACACACACATACACACACTCACACATAAACTAACAAACACACACAAACCAATGAAGAACAGTTTTGCTGAGGTCTTAAATAATGAAACTTTGAATAGAAATTAAACATATTGTTTTTCCCCAAATAAAAAAAGAGATCGAGCGATAGCTTACCTGTAAGGAAGAGCTTTGGGCTGAGAGCTCGTTGGCTGTTGAAGCTATTTTTCTTTTTCAACATCATTCTTACTTTAACTTTGAACATCAGGTACCCAAGCTTTAATTAATTTCCTTTTTTGGATTTGTGTTATCTTACGAGAACCTGAAGCCTGATTCCCACTGAGCCAAAACCCAAAAATTTCCACCAAAAACACAAGAGCAACTTTCCCGTACACACAGAGAAACCAAAATCCGTCTTGGGGGAGCTGGTGTCGATTCTGCTACAGTCAGATTGTAATGAGACATGGGGCAGTGATGCGTCTAAGAGCACAGGGAGAAGCCAAACTCATCAGAAATGTATTTGGACTGGTATACTGTAGGACACTCACTCTCTTGCTGCACAAAGTCTGAGTCAAAGTCAAGTTACGAGTCGTAATCCTCAGGTTTGATAATCATCAAATAGAGTGTCCACATTCAGCTGTCATTTAGACAGCAGTAGAACCAACAGCTCTCATCGTCAAAGTCAGCTACTCTTTCCTTTATGAAGTTGTCCTTGCAAAAACATTGTATTATCATATATGTTTTTTACATTGCTGTACGTCTGGCCAGTTCAAACTCTGGGCCAGGGTCCAATTGAGAGAGAGAGACAGACCATAGAGAGACCAGAGAAAGACACCAGAGATCTCTCTCTGGTCTCTCTCTCTGGACCAGAGAGAGAGCAGAGAGAGAGCACAGAGAGAGCAGAGAGAGAGCCCAGACATTTAAAAAAATTACATACAGAGATATAAAAGTCACAAACCTATACAGACCACAATTGTAAATACACTCGGTAAATACACTTAAAGCCTTTAAGACTACAGTGGGAGTGATACATATTCTGACTGCGGCCTGTAGCACTGAGGACAGGGGCCTCAGCCTAGCAGAGGGAACAGGGGTAGCAGAGGGAACAGGGGCTACAGGTCTGAAAGAGGTCTGTATGTGGAGGGAGTCACAGGGAAAGTCTGGGCTGAGCCTCTGAAGTGATGGAAGTAGATGACTGCATGAATAATAAATGCAGGAAGATGATGGAGTTAGGTCAACACGGCTCTTCCTCTCTCCCCCTCCCTTCCTCTTTCTCTCCCCTGTGCTCCAGCTCTCCTCCCCTCTCCCTTCTGCAGCAACTCTCCCTCCTCTCTCCCCTCTGCTACACCTTTATCGTTACCTCACACTACACTAACTCACAGCTACAATATGACCAGGATATGGCTCCAATTCAAATAAATGTAAATCTGAAAAAAATCCCCCCAAATGGTACTCTGAGGAGCACAGGGACTGGCATCCTGCTGGGACTTTGAGGAGCACAGGGACTGGCCTCCTGCTGGGACTTTGAAGAGCACAGGGACTGGCCTCCTGCTGGGACTTTGAGGAGCACAGGGACTGACCTCCTGCTGGTGCCCAGAGTCAGGACTAAACATGAGGAGACAGCATTTCAGATTCATGACCTATAATCTGTAACTGTCTTTCTGAAAATGTGAGACAGGCTTCTACCCCGCGGTCAGAAGGGTTTCTTTTTTCAATCGTGCCAGAACAAATCAAGTGTAGTACAAAGCTCTGTCAGGCTGGTGGCGCTAATTCTAACTTCAGCAACTACCTCGGGATCCAAGTTAAGTTTACGTTTCTCTTCCTGTTTACACTCAGCGACTGTGGCCAATCATGGCACCAACCAGCTCCAGCATGGATCGCGTTCTTTGCAATCAGAGTCAGTGTGAACAAGTATGAGATGTGTCTTTCCCCAATGTGTTTGTATGTGTGTATGTGTGCGCGTATTTGTGTGTGTGTGTGTGCTTGTGCAAGTGCGCTGCGGACACAGGAACGCAATTCCCTGGAAAGGCAATCGTGCCCAAGCCCAGTTGCCGCGGTCACACAGCACCTAAAGCCCAGATCTAATTGCGATCTGGGCCTAGGCCACTTAAACTGGGCTTTAGGTTGTGCATGTGAACACACACTCTATACACTTGCTTGGCTTGCCATGTTAGATTTCCCACTCTAATAAAATGCAGAGTGTGAAAATTCTTGAGACATTGTATTCGAGCCAACATGAATAATGCATCATATAATTGTCTGAATCGTCAGAGACCAAACGCTGACCTGTTTCTCAGCTCCAGTAACTCTCTGAGCACTGACCTGGGATTGTCATTAGCGAACAAACTGCTGCACTTGGTACTGTCAGTGTGTGTGTGTGTGTGTGTGTGTGTGTGTGTGTGGCTTACGTTAGGTTAACTCCACTGACCACAAGCTTCACACACACAAAAATACACAGTCACAATCTGACATCAATCAAATGGAAACTGCATCGCACTAATGACGGTGCTTTGAAGAGAGGAAGTTAAGTATGCCTCATCAGAACCTGCTACAAACACACACACACACACACACACACACACACACGCACACACACTGCCATCGCGTCATCAGGAGAAAGTCTTCAGCTCTGAATCAGGAAGTGGTGAAATACAAAAACAACCAAGGAGCTTCCAAACGGTGAGATTCCAGCCGACAGTGAAGCAATGAGAGTGATCATGGAGTTACAAATCCTGTGTATGTGTGTGTGGGTGGGTGTGTCTGTGTGTGTGTTTTTGTGTGTGTTTGTGGCTCGTACAGTTGTGAAAGTGACATGCATACCGTCAGTATTATGCATTATAAAACACCCTTAATTTATTCCACAATGTGAGGAGCAAAGAGGAAACAGTCCTTGGCTCTCCGGTTTATCTTGGTTTGTTTGTGTTTCAATTCAGATTCAATATATGTTTCCATAGCCTTAAATCACAGCAGTAGTTGTGTAGGACGACTTTACAAGAGTTTAAACACAAGAAATGCAATGCTAACAAACACATAGAGCCATTTGTCCATAAGGAGCAGATGATAAATGTCCATAAATGCTGTTGCATGTTGAGTGTCGTGGATCATCACTGTCCATATGTTAGAGCCTCCAGCAACAAAAGGCTCCACCCTCAAGTCAAAGCCAGATTCTGACCTCTGAACCTAAGCCGGGCAGGGCCTGGTTAGTGCTGTGATGGGAGACCTATGGGAACACCAGGCACCGTAATGGGGCGGCTCCTTAGGGAAGACACTTCACCCAGATTAGAATGAGTCTGGTATGTGTGTGAATGGTTGTTGGGGGGGCAATGGCACAGACTGATTGCCTCGCTACAGTCAGTGTGTCCCACGCCATTCGTAGTTGTGATTTAACAATGGCAGCATCTAGAGAGAGAACCGAACAGGTCCCAGGATCAACCCCTGTGGCCCTCCAGAGATCAGGGCCAGAGGATCTCGACAAAGTACTTCCTGTCTTCGAGATGAGACTCAAAGAAACAGTGGACGGTGTCAAACGTGGCTCTCAGATCAAACAGGGGACTTGGGCTGTGTGATTTTATTTGTTGCCTTAGTAAACATACATTTAAATTATTAAATGATTATGTACAAAGAGAATCACGGAGCAGAATATTCTCGCTGAACTTTGTCTTGAACTGAGCGCGTTTCTGTGGA